CTGAGTCCCCCGAAACCTCCCTATAAGGCACTCCCATCTTCCCCCCCAGTAACTTCACTAAAGGGCTCCTCACTCCCTCCAAAACTACCCTACAGGGTGCCCCATTCCCCCCAAAAACCTCTATAGGACACCCTACTTTGCCCTAATCACCCCTCTAAAGGACTCCCCCAAAACCTGCCCACTCCCCCCACCAAACCTCTCTATAGGGCATCCTCTTGCCCCCCCATTTACCCCAATAGAGGGCACCTCACTTCACCCCAAAAAACCCTATAGGACACTTCACTCCCCCAACTCACCCCAATACAGGGTTCCTCACTTCCTCCAACCACCTCAATACAAGGCTCTTCACTCCTCCCCAAAACCTCTCTATAGGGCACCTTCTTGCCCTCTCCTTCACCCCAATACCAGGCTCCCCATTGCCCCTCAAAAAACCCTATGGGGGACCCCCTTGCCCCCTCTTAACCCCAATATAGGGCTCCTCACACCGCTCCATTCACCCTAGTACAGGGTTCCTCACTCGCCCTCAAAAAACCCTCCCTATATGGTGCCTCCCCCAATAACCTCACAGTGGCTCTTCACTCTCCCCCAAAACCTCCCAACCCCATTCATCCCAATACAGGACACCCCATTCCCCCTCAAAAAACTCTATAGGGCACACCACCCCCCACTCACCCCAATGCAGGGCTCCCCAATTCCCCTACCCCAAAAAAACCCTATAGGACACCACATTCACTCCATTCACCCCAATACAGGACACCTCATTCCCCCTCAAAAACCTCTCTATAGGGCACTCCCTTTCCCTTCCTTCCCCCCAATACAGGGCTTCTCATTCCCCCCACTCACTCCAATCCAATGCTCTTCACTCCCCCCAAAACCTCTCTATAGGGCATCCCCTTTCCCTTCCTTCACTCCAACACAGATCACCCCACTCCCTCCCCAAAAAACCCTATAGGACACCCCGTTCCCCCATTCACCCCAAAACCAGGCTCCTCACTCCCCTCCAACCACCCCAGTACAAGGCTCTTCACTCCCCCCAAAAACCTCTCTAGAGGGCACCCCCTTTCCCTCCCTTCACCCCAAAACAGGGCTCCTTACACCCCCCCATTCACCTCAATACAAGGCTCCTCACTTCCCCCAAAAAAACCTATAGGACATCCCCCACTCCCCCCATTCACCCCAAATCAGGGCTCCTCACACCCCCCCATTCGCCCCAATAAGAGGCTTCCCACTCCCCCCCCCAGACCCCCCTGTAGGGCACCCCCTTCACCCCAATACAGCGCTGCCCACTCCCTCCTCGAGGGTCTCCCCGCTCCCCCCCAAACCCCTCCCCAGCGCCGCCCACCTCGATCCCCTCAGACCCTCATCCCTTCCCTCCCCTTTCCCCTCCCTCCCTCCCTCACCGCCCCCCCCCATCATATCGGGCGGGCCGCAGAGGCCCGAGCGGGCCGCGGCGGGGGCCCGGGGACCACCGGGACGAAACACAGGCGGGCGGATACTGAGCGCCAGCATCTTGCTGGGGTAGTCGAAGGCGACGACCTCGCCCTGGAGGCGCTGCTCCTGGCAGGTGCGGCAGGACACCTGGCTGCCCACGCTGAAGTACTCGCCCGGCGCCGCCATCTTGTCCGCCCGCAGCGCCCGCGGCTCCGCTCGCCTCGGCCCAGGCGCGGCGGGGGGCGGGGCCGCCTCGGCGGCGAGGGCGGGGATTGGCGCTCCGCCCCGCCGATCTGCTCCGCCCCGCATCGTGATTGGTCGAGCACCCGCGGGGTCCCGCCCCCCTTCCCCCGCGCCTGGCGGGGGGCGGGGCCGCCTCGGCGGCGAGGGCGGGGATTGGCGCTCCGCCCCGCCGATCTGCTCCGCCCCGCGTCGTGATTGGTCGAGCACCCGCGGGGTCCCGCCCCCCTTCCCCCGCGCCTGGCGGGGTTTGGCCCGCCCGCGCCGCCGTCAGCGCGTGGCGCCGCGGGGGGCGCTGGGAGTTGTAGGAGGAAGAGGGGCTGTGAGAGCGGCGGGAGGGACGGTTTGGGGGGTTCCCCCGACATGGAGACCCCCCCGCAGGTACCGCCCGACCGCACCGGGGTGAGCGGGGAGCGGCGAGGAGCGCGGCAGGGCGTCTCAGAGGGTCCCGCGGGCAATGGGAGGTCGCGGGTCTGGAGTGAGGGGGACCCCAGGGAGGCCTCGGGCCTGAGAGGCCAAGGGAGGCCCGAGGAGACCCCGAGTCTGATCCAGGGAGACCCCAGAGAGGCCTCGGGGAGATCTCGGGGTCTGAGCCAGGGAGAGCCCTGGGAGGGTCCAGGCCTGAGACCACAGGGAAACCCCACAGGGAGCCCAGAGAGATCTGGCACCTGCTTTAGGGAGACCCCAAAGAGATCCCAGAGAGCCCCTAGGAAGACCCTGGTCCCGCTCCAGGAAGACCTCAAGGAGTTTCCCCGCTTGAGACCACAGACAGACCCCAAAGAGACCCCAGGTCAGCTCCAGGGAAGTCTCAGGGGAAATCCCAGTCCTCCTCCAGAGAGACCCCCAAAGGGATCCCAGGGAAGCCCAGGATCTGCTTTAGAGAGACCCCAGGGAAACCCCAAAGAGTCCCCAGGTTGGCTCCAGGGAAGACCCCAGGGAGACCCTGGGCCTGCTCCAGAATGACCCCAGGAAACTTTCCAAGGGAAGACCCCAAGGAGTCCCCAGGGAGGTCAGGGCTCTTTGGAGCAACCTGGCTGCTTCAGCAATTCCCACAGGGATTCCCCCAGGATCCTGCCCTGGCCCCCATCCCTGACTCCCAGCTCTGCTCCGCTGGGACCCCCCAAGCAGAAGTTTGGAAGTCCCTTGTGGGCAAACTTCAGGTGGTGAATGACTCCCTGGATTCTTGCTAAGGCATCCCTTGGGATCCAGCCACCTCCCAGGCCCTTCACAAGACATCCCATCCCTCAGGACCCAGCCACCTCCCACCCCCAGATTCCCAAGGAAATCTCTCAGGACCCAGCCACCTCCCACCCCCAGATTCCTCAGTATCCAGCCACCTCTCACCCCCTTCCCAAGGGATTCCCTCAGGATCCAGCCACCTCCCAGCCCCTTCCCAGGGGGATTCCCAAGGGATCTGTGCCCAGCTGACCTCTGTCCCCATGTGCCAGCCGGGTGCCATGGATGCCCTGCACGAGGCTGGGATCTGGGCAGCCCTGACCCTGCAGGCTGGGCCGCCCTGGCTGGAGCAGTTCTGGGTCTACCTGACATCCCACTTCGATCCCAAATCCATCTACACCTTCTGCTTCCCGCTGGCCCACGGGCTGGATGCCCGGGTGGGGCTTATGGTGCTCTGGATCGGGCTCGTGGCTGAGTGGCTCAACGTGGTCCTCAAATGGTGAGGGGGTGGCACTGGGGGTGGCACTGGGGGTGGCACTGGCATGGGGACACAGCTCAGGGAAACTCCCAGAGTTCTGGGCACAGACTTCCTGCAGCATTCCGCAGGGTCACCCGAGCTGCCCCAGGCATCTGCCAGGAATCCCTGGCAGAGAAAACCCCGGGAGGCATCAGGACTGGCAGGGATCCTGCTCTTCTGCTGTAGCTCCATCCCGGGTAATCCCAGGATGAGTGGCAGGGATCCTGCCCTCATGGGCCACCTGGGATGGGTGCAGGGATCCTGCTCTCCCACCGTGGATATATCCCTGGAAATCCCGGGAAGAGTGGCAGGGATCCTGCCCTCCTGCTGTGGCTCCATCCCTGGTAATTCCGGGATGAATGGCAGCCCTCCTGCTGGGGCTTTGTCCCTGGAAATCCCAGAATGGTTGGCAGTGATTCTGCCCTCCCAAATCCCCAATACCATGGAATGGGTGGCAGGGATCTTGCCTTTCCCAGTCTTCTGGGATGGGTAGCAGGGATTGTGCCCTCATGGATCCCCCGGGATGGGTGCAGGGATCCTGCCCTCCTGGATCGCCTGGGATGGGTGGGAAGGCTCCGTGTTTTCCGTCCCTCAAGGTTCCTGTTTGGGGAACGCCCGTACTGGTGGATCCATGAGTCCGGGTTGTTCTCCCAGGAGGAGCTGGAGAAGTTACCACTGCGCCAGTTCCCCGTTACCTGTGAAACGGGACCAGGTGAGTCACAGGTGAAGCCTCCATGTGTCCCAGACAACTCGGTGATCCCTGGGGAGGAGCCACAGGAGCCAGGAGGCTCCACCCCTGCAGGAATGCCAGGCTGGAAGCGGGAAAAGCCGTTCCTCAGCCAGGAAATATGAGGGAGCAGCAGGGAGCGGGTCCGACGCCGCAGGCGCTGGCACAGCCCTGTGGCACCAACGGCTCCGGGACCAGGAAACCCACGGGAGAGTCTGGGAATGTCACTGCTCCAACTGGGCTCCCTGTAAACATGCCTGGAGTTTTGGGCACCGGCTGCATCCCCATCCCTGAGCCTCCAGGCCCAGCCAGGAGGGATCCCTGGGTGCAGGCAGGGTTAGGCTCAACATTCCCAGCTCTCATCCCACTGGGACAAGCTCCCCCCGACCCTCCATCTGCTTCCCCCCACCCAGGGAGCCCCTCAGGCCACTGCATGATCCCCGGGGCGGCCCTGTGGCCACTTGTCACCGCACTGACAGCTGAGGTGGCCCGGAGCACCCGCAGGTGAGTCTGGGATGGGCAGCACCTGGAAGCTTCCAGAGCACCTGTGGGAAGAGGGGATAGGATGTGGCACCCCTCCTTGGCAGGCAGCACCCATGGGGGATAGGCAGGATGAGTCCCGGGATGGGGAAACTGTTGCTTGGAAGTTTCCAGAGCACCTGTGGGAAGAGGGAGGTGGGATGTGGGACCTTTCTTAAGTGGGCATGGTGAGTCTGGGATGGGGAAACCAGAGCTTGGAAACTTCCAGAGCACCTTTGGGAAGAGGGAGGTGGGCCGGATGAGTCCTAAGATGGGGAAAGCAATGCTTGGAAGCTTCCAGAGCACCTGTGGGAAGAGGAGATGGGATGTGGGACCCCTCCTTGGTGGCAGGGGGAGTCTGGGATGGGCAGCGCTTGGAAGCTTCCAGAGCACCTTTGGGAAGAGGCGGGTGGGATGTGGGACCCCTCCTCAGCAGGGGGTGAGTAGGATCCCTTCCCATCCCAGCAGGGCAGCTCCAGGGGGACACATGCCCTGGCAGCTCGGGAAGAGGCTGTGAGACCCCCCCTAACATTTTTTCTTGCCTTCTTCACCTCTGCTTCACCCATTCCTGCTGCTCGGTGGGATCAGTCCTGCCCTGCCTGGCCAGAGCAGGAGCCAGGGGCTGCTTCCCTCTATCACTGACCCCGGTTCCCTTCCAGCCGGGTGCTGAGGCTGATCCCTTTCCTTGCCTACACCCTCTTCTTGGTGGCCATGGGGCTCTCCCGGATCTTTGTCCTGGCCCACTTCCCCCACCAGGTGGTCACCGGCATCCTGGCAGGTGAGGGGAGTGGGGGGCACACGTATCCCAACACCCCATCCTGGCTCAGGGCGTTGGGGGCACCTTCCCCTTCCCTCAAGCCCCTTTCCCAGTCCATCCCAGTCCCAAACCTGCCTGTCCCGTGCCAGGGTCGGCGCTGGGCTGGGGGCTGCAGCGCTGCCCCCCCAACTTCCGCGTGTTCCGGTTCTTCGTGGCGGTGGCTGTGGTACTGATGCTGAGTGCACTGGCCCTGCACAGCCTGGCCACGGCTGCTGGCATCGACCTCGACTGGTGAGCGCCCAGGGAGGATGGGGGATATCCCCAGGGATCAGCGTTCCAGGGTGGAGGGGGTATCCCCAGGGATGAGCCCCTCAGGGTGCAGGGTGTATCCCCAGGGTTCAGCCTTCCAGGGTGGAAAGGGGTATCCCCAGGGATCAGCCCCTCCAGGTGAAGGGTGGTTATCCCCAGGGATCTGTTCCCAGGCTATTGTGGGGAACAGCCCCAGGGATCTGCCTCCAGACCATTTTGGGATGGGACTAACTGCAGGGATCTGCCCCCTACACAGTTTTTGGGAGGTGTTGGGGGGAACAGCCCCAGGGATCTGCCCTAGACTGTTTTTAGTGCGGGGGTATTATCCCCAGGGATCTGCCCCCAGATGTTTGAGGGGAGGGTACTAACCCCAGGAACCTACTCCCAGGCTGTTTTTCAGGGGGTACTATCCCCAGGGATCTGTCCCCCAGGCTGTTGGGATCCAGCCCCAGGCATCTACCCCCAGACCATTTGGGGAGGGGGCTACACAGAGATCTCCTCTGAGATGGTTTTTGGGATGGGGGGGGGTACTAACCCCAGGAATCTACCCCCAGGCTGTTCTTCGGGGAGTACTATACCCAGGGATCTGCCCCCAGACTATTTTGGAATGGGAGTAACCCCAGGGATCTGCCCCCTACACTGTTTTTGGGAGGTGGGGGGTGGTCCTATCCCCAGGGATCAGCCCCTAGACATCTGGGGATGGGGGGGTGCTATCCCTAGCGATCTGCCCCCCAGACTGTCAGGATCCACTCTGACCTACCCCCAACTCATTTGAGGAGGGGGCTACCCCAAAGACCTACCCCCAGCCCCTTTTTGGGGGGAACACCAACCGCGGAGCCCCCCCCCCCGCAGGTCCCTCCGCCTGGCCAGCGCCTGGTGCTCGGACCCGGCGTGGCTGCGGCCAGACACGCGGCCCTTCGCCTCGCTGTGCCGGGTGGTGGGCAGTGCCCTGGGGCTGGCCCTGGCCGCCGAGACCCCCCTGCGCCGCCGGGACGAGGACCAGCTCCTGGATGGCCGCCTGCGGGTGGCGAGCACGGTGCTGGCCCTGCTGGCCCTGCAGCTGGTGCACAGGCTGCCCAGGCCCTCGGACGCGGCCGCCCTGTACAGGCACGTGGTCGTGCACTACGCGGCCGGGCCCTTCCTGGTGGTCTCCGTCCTGCCCCGGTTCATCATCGCCCTCAGGAACTTCCTGGAGCCCTCCCAAGTCCCCCCTCACACCAATTAGGAGGCCTCCGCCCTTGTTTTGGCTTGTTCTCGACCTCATAGAGTAGGGGGATCCCTGACCTGCCCCGGCTCATCTGAGAGCCCCCCACACTGAGTAGGGAGGTGCCCACTCCCTGCCCTGGCTCATCCTCATCCTCAGCTGCGCCCAGGGTCCCCCCCCGCACTGAGTTGGGGTCCCCCCTCCTGCCCTGGCTCATCCTCACCTTCACCTGCCCCCGGGGACCCCCCACACTGAGGAGGGATCCCCCTCCTGTCACGGTTCATCTTCACCCTCACCTGCCCCGGGGACCCCCCCAGTGCAGATTAGGGGGATCCCTGCACCTCTCCCAGCTCATCCTCACCTTCACCTGCCCCCGGGGACCCCTCACTAAGTAGGGGGTCCCGGCTCATCCTCACTCGTCCCCAGGGACCGTCCCCCCACCGCTTTGGGGAGTCCCCGCCCCCTCCCGCTGATTCTCACCCCCCGTCCCGGCTCTGCCCTTTGCTGTGCCCATCGCCGGTGGCTTCAGGCCAGGGGAACCCCTCCAGGCCCCCCCAGTTGTTGCACTAACAGCCCTGTCCCCCTTCCCCCGGGCAGCAGGACCCCCCGGGGGGGCAGAGCTGGGGGTGCCCCGTGCCCAGCAGGTCTGGGGACACAGCATAGGGACAGCCCCAGCCCGGGGGTTACTGACCTGCCACCCCCCCCCTCTCCAGCTGCCCTAGTTCTCCCCTCTCTGGAGCAGGGATGGGACCCCCCCCCCTCAACGCCGGGAGCCCCCCTTATACCACCGGAGGCGGGGGGGTCACCTCGTTTCTTACCAAATAAAGCACCAAAACCAACCCACCGGGCCGAGTCCTGCAAAGACGGGGTGCACAGGCAGAGCTAGGGGGTCCCAGGGCAGGGCTGGGCGGGGGACAGAGCCCCCCCAGCCACAGTGGGGGGGGGGGTGACAGGGACGGACAGAGCCCCTCCAGACACGCTGGGGGGGACACGGTGGTCCCCTCCCTGCACTAGTTGCTGTAGGTGGGGAAACCGAGGCACAAGGGGACACCAGGAAGCCTTGGGGACACCAAGGGATGGGAACAGGGACACGGGGACCCTCCCCACCCCTCAAAGGCAGTGGGGGCCGGCGGGTATTGCCAGAAACAGTTTATTTATACAAGGACGAACATCGGTGACATCTTACAAAATACTGAACCGAGACCCAGAGCGAGCGTGAGCGGGGGGTGGGACGGACAGCAACCGAGGGGGACACGGGGGGACACACGGGGGTGGAGGGGACACCAGCCCAAAGCAAGCCGGGCACACTGCTGGGGGGCCGGCACCCCCTTCCCCCCCATCCCGAGGGTGTTTCCCCTTCCCGGGATGGGGATCTGGGACCTCACCCCACCACCACACATGGGGTGTCCCCAACACTGGGGACACCCACACTGGGGTCCTCACAGTGAAACCCCTCCCTTCCTCACCCTAAACCAGGGTACTTTCCCCCCCACCCAGGGTTAGGAGAGGTGACCAAGGACACGCTCATCCCTCTGTCCTAATTTGGGGACCCCCCCCAAATTCCCGTCACCCCCAAAATAACCCACGACGCGCTGTCCCTGTCCCCGCCCCTCCACCCCCCCATTAAAAAAATACTATTAAATAATCCATCTGTAATAAAATTATATCCCTTTTTAGGGGGGTGGTTGGGTAGTTTTCTCTCTTTTAAAGCTAAAATCGCTCCGAGGCCCCTCTGGCTGGTGATAAAACTGGAAAATTAAGTGGTTTTTTCTCTTTTTTTTGTGTCTCTTTTTTTTTCCTCCTCTAAGAACAAATTTGATCCCAACGAAGGGGTGACAAAGGGATGGGGGGGGGGGACACACAGAGCTCGTCCCTTTGTCTCGTGTCCCTGTCCCAAACAGGGAGGCCGAGGGAAAAAAAAAACCAAGAAAATTAAGAAAACCCAAAATGAAGGGAAATTAAGGCATTAAAAAAAAATAATTAAAGGCACAAATATTTCCCATCGCCTCCCCTGGGGGTGGGGTTAGAGGAGCAGGGGGGGAACGAATGCCAGAGCAGAGGAGGGAACAAAGTGGGGACACACACACACAAAAAATAGAAGGGGAATTAAGGAAAAATCCCTAAAAAAAAGAGAGAGGAGCGCCAGGGGGGTCCGGGCAGCACCGGGGGGGACCCGACAGACACGGTGAGGACACGGGGTGCTGGTGGAACCGCTGCTGCACAAGAGACACAACCGCAAACACCGCGGGGGAGCTGGGGAGGGGCACTGGACAGGTAGGGGGGATTTTTTTTGTGGTTTTCTCCTCTTTTTAATAGAAAAAGAAAATATTTTCCTCTTTTTTCTGGTTTTCCTTCCGGTTTCTGCCTTTTTTTTTTTATCTTTTTTTTCGTCTTTTTTTTGTTGTCTTTTTTTCTTTTTTTGGTCTTTTTTTTTTAAGTGCTTTTTTTTTCCCTTTTACTGTGATTTTTTTCTCTGTGTGTATGTCTGTGTGTGTGTGTGAGTTTTTTAGTCTCTTCTGGGTGTTTCTTGGTTTTTTCAGAGGCGGGAACGATGCGGGTGGGTCAGAGCGTAGGCTCAGCCTCCATCGGCTCCTCCACTGGCCTGGGAAGGGGAGGGACACGCCAAGGTGGAGGACACATGTGTTTCACACACCCCACCCCCACCCCCCCGGACACACGTCTGTCACTCCCCCCAGGACACACCTGCTTCATGCACAGCCCCAGGGACACGTGTCCTCCCTGAACACACACATGTGGCTCCATGCACAGCCCATGGGACACACATGTCCCAGAACACACATGTGACTCCGTGAGCATCCCAGGGGAACATACATTCCCTCCCCCCGAGGACACATGTGGCTCCATGCACAGCCCAGGGGACACACGTGTCCAAGAGGACACGTGGCTTCTTGCACACCCCCAGGGACATGTGTGTCCCCCAAGAACACACATGGCTCCATGCACAGCCCATGGGACATACATGTCCAAGAGGCCACAGGTGGCTTCTTGCATGCCCCTAGGGGAACATGCAGCCCCCCCCCAATGACACACGTGGCTCCATGCACACCCCAGGGGGCACCTGTGACTCCATACAGAGCCCTCGGGACATGCACACCCACAGGGACACATGTCCCCCAAGGACACACATGGATCCATGCACATCTCCAGGGGAACATGCAGCCCCCCCATGACACAATGTGGCTCCTTGCACATCCCAGGGACATGTGTCCCTCCCCACAATGACACATGTGGCTCCATGTGTCCACCTCAGGGACACGTCTCCCCTGAACACACACACACATGTGGCTCCACACCCACCCCAGTGACGTGTGTCCCCCCTGAACACACACATGTGCCTCCATCACACCCTAGGGACATGTGTCCCTCCCCACAATGACACATGTGGCTCCATGTACCCCACCAGGGACATGTGTCCCCCAAGGACACACACGGATCCATGCAAATCTCCAAGGGAACATGCAGCCCCCCTGACACAATGTGGCTCCATGCCCACCCCAGTGACACACGTGTCCCACCCCATGACCCGCGTGCCTGCACACCCAGCGGGGTCCCCAGGGGCCGTACCTGGGCTGGGGGTCTCCCCCGGCCTGCTCGGCGCCCACCGAGAGCAGGGCCATGGCCGTCACCGTCTCAGCCTCCTCGGCCTCCCTGCGCTGGGCCTCCAGCAAGGACCGGCCCACGGCCGCTGCGAAACGCCGCACGGACCCCCAGTGCTTGCCTGCCGGGGGCAGCGTGACAGGGGACACCCGGGCTGGGACAGGTCAGGGGACCCCCAGGGACCCCATGGCTGAGATAGACCCAGGGAACAAGGACCACATGGCTGAGACAGACTCAGGGGACCTCCAGGGCTGCAATGGACCTGGGGGACTCCCAAGAACCCCAGGGCTGAGACAGATGCAGGAGACCCCCAGGGACCCCATGGCTGAGATGGAGCTGAGGGACCCCCATGGCAGGGACAGACCTGGGGGACCCCCAGGACTGGAACAAACCCAGGGGACCCATGAGACCCCAACAGCTGAGATAGACCGAGGGGACCCCTGAGACTCCCACAGCAGGGACAGATTCAGAGGACTCCCAGGAACCCCATGCTGGGACAGATCCTGGGCACCCTCAAGACCCCCATGTCAGGGACAGCCCTAGGGACCCTTCTCGGTTCCCCCTCAAAAGAGAGACAGTCCTGGGGACCCCCTCAGGATCCCAGTGGCAGCACTGGAGACCCTCCAGCTCCTTCCACAGCAAGGACAAACCCAGGGCCCCCCCCGCTGGGGTCCCCCAGTGACTCTTTTGTGCCCCCCCAAGATAGAATCAGCCCTGGGAACCCCCCAGGGGACCCCATCAGGGTCTGCCCCTGCCCCGTTCTCACTCTGGATCTCGATGACCTTCTCCAGTGTGGCCACTGCATTCACATTTGGCTTCTGCTGCAGCAGGGACGGATCCAAGGGCTCCAGCTGGGGAGAGGGAACACGCATCAGACCCCCAAAACTGCCACCAGCATCCCCAAACACCCCTCAGGCAGAGCAGGGACGGAACCACAGCCCCTCACCAACCCACACATGGAAACTGAGGCACGACACGGGGTGGGCACCTCAATACACCCTGCCCCCGGGTGGGGTCCTCAGGGATTGAGGGGGTCCCCACTGTACCTCCAGGCCGAGCAGGGCAGAGACACAAGCCTCGGAGGCATCGCAGATGGCCGTCAGGTCGTGGCCCCCCTCCAGCGCCAGCACCACCCGGCCCCTCGCCAGCATCATCAGCTGCTTCGTCAGGTGTCCAAAACCTGGGGGCACCAGGGAGGGGGGGTGAGGGGTGGCTGAGCCGGGGTCCCCAGCCCGGGATGCCCCCGGACCCCACTCACACTTGGCGGTGACAGAGTAGCCACCGAGCGGGGACAGGTGGCCCTCGACGGCGTCGAAGCCAGCGGAGACCAGCACCAGGTCTGGGGAGAACTCCTTGGCGATGGGCATCACCACCGTCCTGGGGGGCACAGGGTCAGCCAGGGGCAAGGGGACCCCCCCCAGGGCTGTGGGGAGCCCCTCAAAGCGCAAGGATCCTTCCCAGGGTACAGAGAACTCCCAGGACACAGGGATCCCCTAGGGTTTGGGAACTCCCTGCGGGACACAGGGATCCCCTCTGGGGAGTGGGGAACCCCCCCAGGAGAGCAGAGACCCTCCCCAAGGTGCAGGGGAACCCCCAGGGTGCAGGGTCCTCCCCCAGGACATGGCGATCCTCTGGGAGGACCACCCCAAGGGTACAGAGAACCTTCCCCAGGACATGGGGATCCCCCTGGGTTGTAGGGACCCCTCCCCAAGGGCACAGGGATGCTCTCAGGATGCAGGGACCTCCCCCAGGGGCGTGAGGACCCCCTCAGAACTCCCTGGGGTGCAAGGACCCCTCCTCAAGGGCATGGTGACACACCCCTCTCAGGATGCAGAAACCCCTCAAGGGCACAGGGACCTTCCTCCACAGGGACACCTCCCCAAGGATGCAGGAACCCCCCTCAAGGGCATAAAGACCTCCCCAGGACACACAGACCCCACTAAAGGGGCGCAGGAACCCTCTTCCCAAGACATAGAGACCCCCCTAAGGGCACAAGAACCCCCCCAAGGGCGCAGGAACCTTCCTCAGGGTACAGAACCCCCCCCCAAGGACATGGAGACCCTCTCATCTGGACCCAGCAACTCCCCTTGAGCCCAGGGACCCCCCCAAAGGCTCAGGCACCCTCCCAGACCCCCACCTGAAGGCAGTCAGATACTCCACGTCCCCGATCGGGGGGTCCACGCCGCCAGTCCAGGCGATGTTGATGTTGTAGCCCACTCCCAGCCCACTGCCCACCTGGGACACAGCCACAGGTGACCCCCTGTGCCACATCCAGGGCTAGGGGGATACAGGGGGACCCCCACCCCTCCCCCAAGCCCCCCTGTACCTCCTCAGGGGCCCCACTGCCCGGGAAGAAGTTGCCGTCGTCGTAGCGGTGCAAGGAGATGTAGAGCACGTGGGGGTCACTGTAGAAGGCCTGCTGGGTCCCATTCCCATGGTGGATGTCCTGGGGGGGCACCCGTGATGTCAGGGACCCCTCTGTCCACCCATGGGGTCCCCATCACCTGTGGGGGGGTCCCCCTGCACCCCCTACCCAGTCCACGATGAGGATCCTGCCCACGCTGAGCCGCTGCTGCAGCAGCTTGGCCGAGATTGCCACTGAGTTGAAGAAGCAGAAGCCCCTGGGGACAAAAGAGGATGAGAGAAAGGGGACATTCAGTGGTGGGGTGACCCCCAGGACACTGTGGGGTCTCCTCCCTGGGCGGGGGTCCCAGCGCTGTCCCCACACTCACATGGCTGTGGACTCCTCGGCGTGGTGGCCTGGGGGGCGGATGACCGCAAAGCCGTTCTGTGGGAACAGAGAGAGGGATGTGTGTGGGAAAGACAGGGACACGTGTGGGACACAGGGACAATGGAACATGCATGGGACACAGGGAGATGTGTGGGACAGAGAGGAACACACAGGGCCATCCACTGAAGAGCTGGACTCGATGATCCTTGTAAGTCCTTCCAACTCAGAATATTCTGCAACTGCAATGCTGAGAAGTGGTTTAAGGACACAAAGGGACATGTAGTGTGGCAACAGAGGGACACATGTGGGGTGGGGACACAGAGGAAGGTGTGAGACACAAAGGGACATGTGTGGGACACAAAGGGACGTGTGGTGCGGGGACACAAAGGGACACGTGGGACAGAGGAACAAGTGGTGTGGGGACACACAGGGACAAGTGGCGTGGGGACAGAGGGACGTGTAGGACAGAGGCACTTGTGGGACACAGAATGACACATGTGGGACAGAAGGATATGCATGGGACAGAGGAACAGGAGTGGTGAGGGGAGAGGGACATGTGTGGCACGGGGAGGGACACATGCAAGAAGGCAGCACGTCTGCACACGAGCTGGCACAAGGAGCCCTGCACTCAGGGGAGTGTGCAAGAGAACAGCACATGCGTGCTCAGCCTTGCACAAGGACCATCTCACCCCAGGGGAGTGTGCAAGAAGGCGACACACAAGTTGCACAGGGACTGTTGCACCTCAGATGAATGTGCAACGCAACACACACACACACAGAGGAGCGTGCACAGGGACTGTCACACCCCAAGTGAGTGTGCAAGAAGCACACACGTGCACGAGTGTCACAGCCCAGGTGAGTGTGCAAGACCACACACACAAGCTTGCACAAGGACTGTCACACCTCAGTTGAGTGTGCACAGGGACTGTCACAGCCCAGGTGAGTGTGCGAGGAGCATACATACACACAAGTGCGTACAAGGACTGTCACATCTCAGATGACCGTGAAGGCAGCCCACACACACACAGGAGTGTGCACAGGGACTATCACACCCCAGGTGAATGTGCAAGGCAACACACACGCACATAAGTGTGCACAGGGACTGTCACAGCCCAGGTAAGTGTGCAAGACCACGCTCACCTTGAGCTCGCCTGCAGCCACCTTGAAGGCCAGCTCGAGCAGGCAGCCCACGGCCGTGCGCACCGCGCTCGACGAGTGCAGCTCGTTCCACACCGTGTCACTGTCCACCTGGGGGGGGGGCACCGGGGGTCAGCGGGGCCAGCCCACCCCGGGGACCGCCCCCCGCGCCCCCAGACTCACCCCGATGCCCCCACATGGCAGCACTGCGTACGTCTTCTGCGTGATGGGACCTGAGGGGTGGAGCGGTGTGGTGGAATGGGGACAGCGGGGATAGGGGTATCCCAGGGGATAGAGGCACCCCTGGGCACCCCAAAGGACTGGGAACCCCATGGGACAGAGGATCTCATGGGACTAGGGGATCCCATGGCAATGAGGAATCCCACGGGCAGTCCAAAGAATTAGAAATCCCGGGGGACAGGAGCATTCCATGGGATAGGGGGACCCCTGAGAACCCCAAAGGATTGGGAACCCCAGGGGACAGGAAGATCCCATGGGACAGGGGGACTCCTGGGTATCCCGTGGGACAGGGGGACCCCTGGGCACTCCAAAGGATTGGGAACCCCAGGGAACAGAGGGATCTCATGGGACTAGGGGATCCCATGGCACTGAGGAATCCCATGGGCAGCCCAAAGCATTAGGAACCCCAGGAGACAGGAGAATTCCATGGGTTAGTGGGACCTCTGAGCACCCCAAACGATGGGGAACCCCAGAGGACAGAGGGATCCCATGGGATAGGGGGACTCCTGGGGATCCCATGGGACAGGGGGACCTCTGAGCACCCCAAACGATTGGGAACCCCATAGGACAGGGGGATCCCATGGGATACAGGGACCTCTGAGCCCCCCAAAAGGATCGAAAACCCCAGGGAACAAGAGAAACCCATAGGATGAGGGGAACTCCAGCCACTCCAAAGGATTGGGAACCCCAAGGGACAGAAGAATCCCATGGGACTGAGGACTCTTGGGACACCTAAGGGTTGGGGCATCCCATGGCATAAGGACACCCCACAGGACACGGGCTCTCCTGGACATCTAAAGGGACAGGGCACCCCAGGGAACAGATCCAAAGGAATAGGGGGTACAGGGTGACCCCAGCTCCAAAAGAGGGGGGTTCCAGGCATCCAGGGCCTCCCCAACACCCACCCAGCAGCTTCTTGCTGTCCAGTTTCTGGCGGTTGAGGGGGCTGGTGCCGTAGAGCAGCGCGTGGTGCTCTGAGTGCACCGTCTGGATCTCCTCCAGCGTCGCCTTCCTGCCCCGGATCCGCTGGCAAAGGGGGCACAGGGGTGAGCCCCCCTCTCCCCAAGCCAACTCCAGCTCCCCCCCAGGACACGGGGTGCTCCCCTCACCTCACACTTCCCGAGCAGGCCGGTCTCCTGGAGCCGGGACCAGATGCTCTGGATGCGGCCGGCGTGCTCCGGGTGGATCGTGGTGTTCCCGCAGGTGCACTGGTGCTTCAGCATGAACGTGTCGTACACCACGCCTGTGCCAGCAGCACACCTGGCACCGGACCCTGGCACCCCCCCAGGGCTGGGGCACTGAGGGACATAGGCACCCCAGGGGATGGAGGGATCCCATGGGATTGGGGGTTCCCTGGGCACCCCAGGGGACTGGGAACCCCAGGGAACAGGGGGAATCTGTGGAATAGGAGGACCCCTGAGCACCCTGAGCAACTGGGAATCCCAAGGGACGGGGAATCTGTAGAACAGAAGGACTCCTGGGCACGCCAAGGGATTGGGCAACCCAAAGTGACAGGGGGAACCATGGAATAGGGGAACCCTGGGCACCCCAAGGGATTGGGAAACCCAGGAAACAGGGAGAATCTGTGGAATAGGAGGACCCCTAGGCACTCTGAGCAATTAGGAATCCCAAGGGACAGGGAATCTGTAGAACAGGGAAACCCTGGGCACTCGAAGGGATTGGGAACCCCAAGGGGCAGAGGGAACCTATGGAATAAGGGGGATCCCATAGGATATGGGGGCCCTTGGGCACCCTGAGCAATTGGGAACCCCAACGGACAGGGGGAATCTGTGGAATAGGAGGATCCCTGGGCAACCCAAGGGAATAGGAACCCCAAGGGACAGGGAAAGCCCACAGGTACCCCAAGCAATTGGGAACCCCAGAACAGGAGGATTCCATGGGATATGGGGACACCTGGGCACCCTGAGGTATTAGGAACCCCAGGGGACAGGGAGAATCTCAGACACCTTGAGGGATGGGAAACCATCTGGGAGAGGGGCCCATGGCACACAGGCACCCCGAAGGATGGGGAACATCCCCATCCCCTGGGGACAGGGGACCCCCAAACACCCTGAGACTGGGAACCCCATTGGACAGGGTCACCCCCAACCACATCAAGGAATGGGACACTCGGGGTGGGGGGATACAGACATCCCTGGGATCTACCACAGGATGGGGCACCCATGGGACACAGGGCCAGGGGGATCCCATGGGACAGGTGACACCCCATGGGACAGGAGCACCCTGAGGGATGTGGGACCCCAAGGGACAGAGGGACCCCAGGGGACAGAGGGACCCCGACCCCCGTTGCCCCTGTACCTGTGGTGAAGAGGTGCTTGGGGGGCCCCTCGGGCACAGGGGGCTTGACGCTGGCAGGGGACGACTGGGTGCGGGCGAGAGCCGGGTGGGACAGTGCCAGGACCCCCAGGGGGGGCGTGGGATAAAGCTGCAGCGGTGCCTCGGGGTACACCTGGGGGAGGACACCCAACATGACCCCCCATCAGCCCCCATGGCCAAGGGGGGGGATGGGGGATGAGTCATGGTAGGGAACAGGGGGGGGGCCATGGTGCAGGGATGGTAGGGACGGGGGGATGCAGAGGGGGGGATGAGTCACCGACCCTTCCGAGTCATCACTGCGGCATCACCCCAAAAATGGGGGGAGGACACACAGTTGGGTGCAGAGTGGGGGCAAGGGATGCACAGGATGCTTGTGTGTGGGAGAATTAAGGAGTTTGGGGGGATTTGGGCCCCCCCCAAAATCTCACCTGCTTGTAGGTGACGCCCAGCTCAGTGACGTCAGGGTACCCGGCACCCTCAGCCTCATCCCCGCTGTCCCCTGTCCCCTGGCCGCCCTCGGGATCCTGCAGCTGCTCCGGGGGGTCCCCAGCCTCCGGGGAGATGAGGGTGAGGGGGGGGCTGAGGGGGGGGCCAGGGGGCCCCCCCTCGCCTGGGGGGGGTGATTGCTGCTCCGTCAGCTCCTCCTCCGTCTCCTCAGGGTGGGTGGGGGGCTGCCGTGCCAGCTCCCCCGCCTTGGGGAGCAGCTGGGGGGCAGGGGGGTGTTAGTGACCCCCCTGCACCCCTATACCCCGTCTGCCTGAACCCCGTGCCCAACTCACAGTCACCCCTTGCCCCACAGCAATTCCATACCCACCCCATGGTCCCCTCGGAACCCACCCCATATGCAGCCCATGCCCATGCTCACCCTATGCCCCATTCCCACCCCACATGCACCCCACACCCATCCCGTGCACCAAAGCCACCCCATTCCCATCTCACAACCACCCTATGCCCCACCCCACTCCCCCCAGCCCCACCCCCACCCAGTCCTTCCCCAGTTTCCCCCCAGTTCCCCTTCCTTTGCCTCAGTTTCCCCTGCTTGCAACCTCACCCCCCACAGCTGTATCTGGAGGGTTAGTGGGGTGTCAGGGTGCCCCACAGCTACCCAACATCCCACCCCATGCCCCATTCCCATCCCACATACACCCCATGCTCACCCCATGCCCTCCCAGCGCCAGTCCCATGCTCAACCCGTGCCCACCCACACCCATCCCACGCCTTATTCCCCACACCATATACTCCCCATGCCCACCCCACACCCATCCCATGCTCCATTCCCCACACCACACACACCCCATGCCTAAACCACACCCATCCCATGCCCCACACCACTTACACCCCACACCTCATTCCCATTCCACATACACTCCATGCCCACCCCACACCCATCCCATACCCCATTTCCTACATCACATACACCCCATTCCCACCCCACACCCATCCCATACCCATTCCCCACACCACACACACCCCATTCCCACCCCACCGCCAGCCCCACTTATACCCCATACCCACTCCATGCCCACCCCCAGTCCCAGGGCTGCCCCCGGCCCACCTTGCCCAGTTGGACCTGCTGCTTGTCGAGAAAGTGGTGCTGGAGGGGGCCGTGGGGCAGGGCCTGGGGGCTCTGGGGCAGCGGGGACGACTGGGTGCGGCTCAGGGGCCGGTGCCGAGGCAGTTTGTTCCCACGGGGACCCCCCCCGCGCTCCCCCGTCACCAGCGGGGACTGGCCGTGCAGGGGCACTGGGGGGCACCGCGTTAGTGGGGCACCCGACACCCCCCGGGCCCCCCCAGTGCAGCTGGGGGTGAGGGTGGGGGGCTGTAGGCAGAGGAAACTGGGGCAGGACTGGGGGGGAACTGGGGAAGGACTTGCGGGGGAAAGTGGGGAAGGACTAGGAGGAAAGTAGAGCACAGAGGGTGAACCGGGGAAGGACCAGTGCGAGATCAGGGCAGGACAGGGAAGAAATTGTAGAAGGACTGGAGAAGAACTGGAGAAGGACTGGGAAAAAGCTGAGGGGAAAGTGGGGCAGGACTGGGTGGGGGGCCTATGGAAGGACTGGGAGAAAACTGAGGCAAGACTAGGGATAAACTGGGGAAGGACTGGGGGGGGAAACCAGGGCAGGACTGGGAGAAAACTGGGGAAGGAATTGGGGAAGGACTGGAGAAAAATTGAGGGGGAACTGAGGAAGGGCTGAGGGGAAACTAGGGCGAGACCGGGGGGCAATGGGGCCTCACCAGCGATGAGGGTGCTCTGCTGCCGTGCCTGCTCCAACAGCAGGACGTGCTGCAGCAGGGACGGGGGACCGGCCGGGGGGTCCCCGTCCAGGGCCACCCCCAGCAGGCACCCCGGGATCGAGGACGTGCTCAGGAACTTCCCGGTGAGGGCGGCCCCAGGGCGCAGGGGGGGTACACCAGGGCGCTCGCCCTCAGCCTGCGGTGACAGCTTGGGGGATGCCTGAGGGGACACGGGTGGCAGCGGGGGGATCCCCACACTACCCCCTGGAGTGCCACCCCCGTGGGGTCCCCACATGGTCCCCATGGGTCCCCCCCACCCCCCCATAGGAGGGTATCAGGTCCCCATGCCACCCCCTGTTGAGTTCCCACATCCCTCCCCACAGGATTCCCGATCCTAATGTGGTCCCTATGCCATCCTCTTTGGGGTCCCCCCACAGTCTCTATGGACTGGTGCCAGGTCCCCATGGGACCCCCACATCCCCTCTATGGGGTGCCAGGTCCCTGTGCCACCCACTGTGCGGTCCCCATGTCCCCAGGGAGTCCCCACATCCCCCCATGGGGCGCCAGGTCCCTGTGCCACCCCCCACGGAGTCCTCATGTCCCCATGCCCTCAGAGCATCCCCACATCCCCCCCATGGGGTTCCAGGTCCCTGTGCGACCACTCCATGGTTTCCCCATGCCCCCCATGCCCCCAGAGGGTCCCTGTGCCCCCCACTCACGGGGACGTGGGCGCTGGTGACAGTGACAGTGGCCTGCAGCCCCAGGGACAGGTTGGGCAGCGACGGGGACGTGTAGAGGCTGAGCTGGGCCCCATCCAGGGCCAGGGCACGGGGCTGGGGCAGGAGCTGCTGCGGCACCACACGGCACGACACGCCATCAGCACATGTGTTGGGGGCATGTCACACCATCAGCACACGTGCCAGGGCACAGCACATCATCAGCACATGTGTAGGGGGCAGGTCATGCCATCGGCATGCGTGTGCCAAGGCAAAACTCGCCATAAGCATGTGTGAGCCAGGGCACACCAGTGACACGTTACCTGCACGTGTGTGCCAGCACATGCCACTGACACCGGCCACGCTCACAGCACACCTGAACACGTGTGCACCTTAAACATACAGCATGCACTTGAGCACACGTGCACCCTGAGCACACCCACAGCACATGCCTGCACATACATGTGCACCCTGAGCACACCTCCAACACACACCTGCACACACATGTGCACCCTGAGAACACCCCCAGCACACACCTGAGCACATGTGTGCACCCTGAGCACACCCACAGCACATGCCTGCACACACATGTGGCCCCTGAGCATACCTCCAGCACATTCCTAGTTACACACGTGTACCGTGAACATGCACACACTGGCTGCACACACTTGAGCACATGTGTGCACGCAAACATGCTGGCTGCACACACTTGAACATCTGTGCACCCTGAGCACACCCCCAGCACGCACCTGAACATACACGTGCCCCCTGAACGTGGACACACTGGCTCCGCACACCTGAGCACACATGTGTACCCACACATGCTGGCTGCACACACCTGCACACACGTGTGCATCCTGAGCACCCCCCAGCACACACCTGCACACACACGTACACCCTGAGCATACCTCCAGCACACACCTGAATGTACACATATACCCTGAGCACACCCCCAGCACACACCTGCACACACACGTACACCCTGAGCATACCTCCAGCACACACCTGAATGTACACATATACCCTGAGCACACCCCCAGCACACACCTGCACAGACGTGTGCCCCCTGAGCCTATCTCCAACACACACCCGAATATACATGTACACCTTGAGCACACCCCCAGCACACACCTGCACACATGAGTGCCCCTCCCTCCCCTTGGGCTGTACCTCGGTGTGGATGTTGGGGACGGAGGCGGCCAGGCCGTTGTGGGCACCGTGGGAGCTGTTGGGGGAGCTGGGCCCCGACCCGGGGGCACTGCTGCACACCGAGGACACTGCAGCACATGCGTGTGTCACACGCGGGGATGGGGACACCGGGACCCCCACCCACCTCAGGGACAGGGCGATGCAAAGGTGTGCAAGGGCACCAGCACACCTGTGCACACGTGTGGCATCACCGCAAAGGCACGTGCATGGATTAGGGTGTGCATGAACACACGTGCACTTGTGTTGCAGAGGAACACACATAGGGAAGCACACACGTGCACAAGCACGTGCAAATGTGCACACTCACATTACAAATACACGTGTGCACACGTGCTGCACAAGCACGCACGTTAAAAACCTCCCACAGGAACCAGCCTACATGCGCGCACGTGTTCCACAAGCGCGTGCAGCAGCAGTGCGCGTGCTCCTGTTGCACAAGCACAGGGGTCACGTGTACACTCACGCTGCAAACACGTGCCCAAGCACATGTGCTGCACAAGCAGGTGCATATGGACATGCATTCATGTTGCACAAGCGTGTCCACAATCATGCGTGTGCACATGTGTTGCACAAGCACACGTGTGAAAAAACTCACACAGCAACAAGCACACGTGTGTACCAGCGTGTGCACGTTCCACACACATGCAGCAGCACGGTGCCCTCCTGTCGCACAAGCACACACGTGCACAAGTGTGTGCGCAGACGCGCACTCCTGTTGCACAAGCATTTGCCTTGGGGGGGATGAGTGTTGCTCAAGCACATGCGAAAAATCTCCCACAGGAACAAGCGCGTGTGTGTGCACGTTCCACAAGCGTGTGCAGCAGCGCATGCACTCCTGTTGCACAAGCACACGTGTGATGTGCACACTCATGTTGCAAACACGTGCACGAGCACACATGTTGCACAAGCACGCATGTAGAAGTGCAGCATCAGTGTGTCCCCACATTGCACACAGATGTGCAGAAGCACGCACATGCACAAGCATGTATGCAGACATGCACACTCCTTCTGGACAGCGAGTGTCCAAGCACACACGTGCACACGTGTCCAGCAGTACACGTGTCCCACAGTCCTGTGCAGCCACAAGGATGGGGATGCGGGTCCCTCCCGGGCGCTCCGGGGAACCACCGGGTGACCTGGGGAAAGCGAGGCAGGTGGCAGGTCCCCACCCGTGACCTCCCGCGTGGCCCATGCTGTCACACGCGCCCCCGGGGGACGCACCGGTGATCTCGACGTGGCGCTTGCGGAAGGCGCTGAGCACGGAGCCGTCGCGGCGCCGCAGGAGAGGGCTGCTCCGCCGCTCCGCCACCTTCTGCTTCAGCCGCGACCGCACCTTCAGGTTGGGCTCAGAGGCTGGGGGGACCCCAAAACGTGTCACCCCAAAACGTGTCACTTCCCCTGGAGGTGTGTCATGCCCTCCCTGCCCGCTGGCACCCACCAGTTTTCCGGAGAGGAAAGTCATCCCGGCCGTCGTAGGTGCCGAGGAGGGGGAGCTTGTAGGACGGAGGGGTCCCCGGGCTGCCTGTCTGCGGGGGGGAACTCTGGTCCAACGAGGTGTGGTGAGCCCTGGGCGGGGAGGGGAAGGCAGCAGAGACCCCGCTAGGACGCCTGGGTCCCCCCCCCGAGGTGGTTTGGGGGGGTCCTGTGGGGCTGGGGAGAGACCTACCAACATTTGGGGTGCTGGGGGAGGGAATGGTTTGGGGGGCCGGGGCCTGGCTCCTTCGTCTTGCTGAGCAGGAACTCCTGGAGCTTCAGTTTCACCTCAGTGCTGGCGATGGCACCTGAGGGGCACGGGGGGGGGGGTCAGAGGGGCAGTACATCCCCTCTACAGCCCCAAGATGCCCCCAGCACCCTCAGTCCCACTACCCCCTCTGAGCACATTGCCCTCAGTGCCTCCAACCCACCCCAGAGCCCCTCATCCCACCTCAGACTCCATTGCCCTCAGACCCCCCTGACTCCCCCAGTCCCAATTGCAACCAGTCCCTGCCAGAGCCCCCAGCCCTCCCAGGGTCCA